AAAAAAAAAATGTATTATACATACAGGATGATCAACATAATGGAAAACATTCATTATCTCGAAAAGTATACATTTTAATAGGAATTGTTGTTTTTAGAAATTGTAAGAAACAAGGAGCTTTAAAACGGTACCTACATTGTTGCCTTAATTTTTTAAAATAAGGGTAGGAAGTGAAAGAGAAACGTAAAAACCTGCAATCTAAAATGTGTGTTTTCAAATCTGAACAGTAAAAATCTGTAACTTTAAAATTAATTTAAAATCCGTAAAAATTTGAACCGGGCGAAAATAAAACATACGTATTGTTCATTATTCTATCCACTTTCGATTTAAATTTTTCAAGAATAACCAGATTTATTGACAGATTATCTAGATTATTTAAGAAGTTTCTTTTTTGGATTAAAATCTGACGGGTCTAAAATAAATACAAATATAATGCGATTATTTTACAGAATTTTCAAAAAAATATCTTAATTTTTGAGGTCTTCAGGAGTAAAACTTTCAAATCGACTTCCTGAACGTACTTAGGAAAATTGTAAAACAAATTCATTCATACTTTAAAAATTAAAATAGGTCATTATTAGGAAGTATGCGGGTAATTTCTCACCGTTTATTGATCGATAACGTATGAAAAATAGGTTTGATCCAATCCTCTTAAACAGAAAGTAACACTTTATTAACGACCATCACCATTATGCTCTATAAACCGCACACGGATATTTTCAAACATTCACAAGAATTTTAAATGAAAACCTTATAAAAATAGCCCAGTACACTCTAGCGAATGCACACGTTCATTTTGATGCGAACAAAATTCAAAAATGAGGACGTGTCGACGATGAGGTTAAGTCAGCACCGGCAATCCGGCATGTTTGTTCGCGAAATAAAAAAAGGTAGGAGTATTGGTAAATTCCGAAAATAGCCTATCAAAAAACCGGCAAATTTTCAGGAAAATTTCTATATTCATCAAGATTTTGCCGGTACCTACACGATTCTCCTACATTAATAGGTGTGGTTTTGTTTCGAATATTGTGTAAAGCATAATGCCAGCAGTCCGGGCTGAATTACAGTGGAATGTCAACGGTGTGGATGATAGTCGCGTACGTATTATTATTATTGCATGTATATGTGTATATGTGTGTGAGTGTGTGTGTGTGTGTGTCGGTGTGTTCGTATTGTTTTAGAATATAATATAAATTATTGTGTTGGAATATTGGAATGCGCGTTCTCATACGTTTATAGTGCAGTTATGCAGTCTCTCGTTTGATTGTATTATCGTGTAACCGACAAAGTATAGGTAGGTTCGAATACGAGTTCAAATGTTATAGCGTTTATTGGATTTACAATCACAAGCGACAAAATAATATTAAAACAAATTACCGATCTCGTAGCGTTTACCATCTGACTACATTCGTGTGTACTACACGCGGTCAGCGCGATACCACACTACGTGTGTGTAGGTGCTTAGTAATGAAATAATATGAAGTAGAGTATTATTTTCGCTGTCGTATAATATTGTAATATATCGTTTATTTGATATCTGTTATCAAATTTAAGTGCCCATCGCATCTTATACCTTATAGAAAAACCACGATCCGTCCGTCAGTGTGTAACGCTTTGTTGATTTACCGTGGCAACTAAATATAAAACCCGCCCACCGTAACCTGTCATGTATGATGGGCCTACAAAATACTTGTCAAATAAAAATCTAAACCGTTACACCGTCAAAATCAAAGGTGTCGGGGTTTTACATTCGTGTAAATAACATGTCACTACACTGCAATAATATTATGGAATTTGCGTTACATGCCGTACTGGTGATGGCAGGTGATAGTAGGCAAAAAGTATACACCGGTGTAAACGAGTGCTGCAGTAAATAAGAAAACGCTACAAATAATTCGTCGGGCATATACCGTCACCGTGCCCTGCTGCAGTCGAAATACGATTTCACGCAAATTATGACATATCGCGATGAATATTACGACCATTTTTTGCATTGGAACCTATAAAAAATACATACATTTTTTTTTATCAAACATTTTTTACATCGCTTTCGTGCCACGTTCATTTTTCGAATTCGATTCTATTTTTGGTGTGGCGAATCGCGTGATGTACTTATAGTCGGTAAGTCGTCGGACAAACATACTGAAAATCTCCATACGCTAAACGTACGATTTTGAAGTTTCGGAATGTTTTAAATATGTTACCGTGTCTAAAATAATATTATATTGGGGCACGGTGAAAATGTCAGATCTCTGCGGTTGTTTCTATCGATTCCTACGGAACTACGACTTTCGGCTACATACTCATAATATGTAACGTACATTTTTCACGTAACATACCCCGCAGTAAATACCAATAGAATATCACTGCTAATATTCATATAAATGAGGCGATTATTACCGTGGCATAAGTCGCGTTTTCTTTAATTCGAGGCGTAAAGATGTTAATTTCCGAGTTATCAAAACACAGCTGTTTCGTTTACTTGCATAATACGTGTCGCAGTCCTGGCGGTAGAGGTACGAATTACGACTTGATTGACTATGCCTGTATCGGTATAAAGCGACTTTCCAAGTACCTTCACGTTACAAATATACGTAACTCAGATTTTACGGAAATATCACTTCTCGGGGAGATCGCTATGGTTTTAACGCCCTCGTTTGAAAACCGTGTTTTAGGTAAACGAGTCGCGCCGTCACCCTAAATTCGTTTCTACGACTACGGCGACGGCATCACGCACGAACCCTACAGAATTATTCAATTACGTCATCGTGTTACAATAATTACAACCGTAAAATTATTAAATATTACGCATAATATCGTCATTGACCTTTCGATTCAAAATAATATTTTGTAAGGAATAAAAAAAAAACATCGGGGATACGTATGATATTACGTACTCGTATAATGCTATGTTTTTGAAAAAAAAAAAAAATAATAATAATAATAACAACCGATCCGATAGAAAATGTGTCGAACGGATGGGGGTCCGAGTACGCTGCCATTTAAAAAGTATAAGCGTAGTACTATGAGTGCCGCGGTATAAAACTAATGGTTTTTTTTTTTCCGAAACAATTAAAAACGTTTCGTCAGGAACACGGGCAGATGGCTTTCGAACGGAAATCGTTTTTTTTTTTTTCATCCATCTTAATAATATTACTATTTTAATAAAAGCTAATAAAAAGATGTCCCGCCGACGAATGTCGTCATCCTGTACGACAGAGAACAATCGAATGCGTAGCCCATTTTTTTTAATCAACACGAACACAACATTTTCTGACTATTATTATTATTATATATATACTTTTTTTTTTTTTTTTATTAATTAATTGCATATTCCTTTTTGTAATTTCCTTCTCGCGACTATTTTTTGTTTTATTTTATTTTTTATTATTAATATTATTTGTAGGTATCTACATTTTTGTTTTTTTATTATTACTTTTTTTTTTTTTTTTATTTAAAGGCGGCCAGTCATCGTCAGCTCGGCGGGTATCCGCATAGTTTTTAATGAAGTTCCCCATTGATGTTGAATCAATCAACATCAACTGGGCTCATTGGAATCATTAATTCTGTCAAAAACGAAACGTACTCGTAAAATCTAATTACTGTATTTTATTTTTGGTTAATGTCTTTCGCCGCGCGTACCTATAGTATTATTAGTTGTTACTGTAAAGAAAGAGAAAGACACAGAGAGAGAGAGAGAGAGAGAGAGAGAGAGAAAACACAATAACTGTAACCCAGCTGCGATATCGCGGCTACGAAACAGCGATCGTACCCACAATTTTATTTAGTATTCAGATAGGTTCGTAAAGTATGTGCGAACATGACTTTAAATCGCATTTAAGGAGTCCGAATGGATCGTTTTCCTCTGTCCGGGAACCGCAGAAACGCGTACAGCTAGCTATAGGCAATTTATTAAACCGATAATTTGAGTCCTCGTTGTCCCGCATGGTTCTAGGTTTTATTTATTTTTTTTTTTTTTGCTGTAAATCTGATGAGATCCGTTCACCGACTCCGACACGGTAGCATAATGTACCCGCCGGTCGCGGGTTCCGACGACAATAATATTGCTGACCACCAGTGACCACTCGCCCACTGTGTCGTACCCATCCAATCTGTATACCTTCCGTATAGTCCGGGGTTCAAACACTGTAGCTACCCACCCGGTTATTCTCTATTCGCGATTAACAACACTATTTTTCGTATCGAATTTGTTCATTTATTATACGGGCGCGATAAACCGCACGCAACACTACGCGCTTATGCAACGGTGAACGGTGATAATTATTAACTGGCATACTGCGTCGTAATAGATTTGCGGGCGACGTGCTTAAACCGCGTGAACCTAACGACTAGAATAACAGAAAAACACTAGAGTCCCAACAACAGTGTACTCGAATACCCAATATACATTTCCTGCCAATAAAATCTTTTGTTATTGTAATAACACTTGGCGTTTGATTAAATCGTTTAAATGCACGTTCCAATAGAAGAAAATCAAGAAAAGAAACATCGGCTACCATATTCTGTCTGGACGCGTAGAATATTATATTAAGCTGCGGATTATGCTCGATACTGTCGCTGTCAAAAACACGCAGTACAATACTGATCGATGTAATTTGTTATTTATTAAAAATATTGGAGTGCGGTTTTTTTTTTATTTTCTTTGTCGAACTCACTTAATGCGTGCCATTTAAATAAGAATTATCGATTCGATCCTCGTTCCCGGAGCGAACTAGTCACAAGTGCGTTATTATAATAATACAATAATATTATATTATAGTCTCTGTTGGAATCGTATCAGACGAAACGCATAAACCACGTTTAATCGCCGACGATATCTCACACCGCTTTAGAAAAAGTCATCGTTTATTATTTTTTTTCTCGTACCCATATAAAACACTGAAATATAAACGAGACGGTTAAAACGCTCTCACAATTAATATTATTAATAATAACTCCGGGACGATTAAGGCAAATCTCGAAGATCAACTAGCGCTGTAATGCGTCCGTGTATTTCGTTGGTGATTTTTGTTTCATTTCTCGCTCGGGTGGCCGCCACCGACACACCTTCTTCTGCCGATTCATCTTACGAGGTATTAATATTATTTTTATTATTATTTTTGTATAAAAAGAACGCATACGGCGCGTAATATACCGACAATAACGTTTAAGACCTTTAGAAACATCGCCATATTATAATAATGATATCCGTGCCCACATTATTATATGACGATTTTCGATATAACGTCATAACGAGGGTCCCTATACAATACAATAATATTATATACATTGTCGACGTCTTTTGTCGACGAGCCCGTACGCGGGTATTGAATTTCAATAATAAATCCTGTGGTAACATAAAGTTTAAAACGTGCTCGTACGCCGCGATCGAAACCTAGATGGGGGTAGATTCTGTAGCACCGATAAACTATTATAGTTTTACAGTTTTCGAAAAAGAAAGGGGACCACTTGGCCGTGTCATATAAAATAATATTATATCGATTTCAGGTGTTCGCGTCCGGAGCAGCACGGAAATATGCCGTGCAAAATATAATTACGACGGCCGGCCGACGAATATTTACTGAAAGAACGGCGATTCCGATTACATCGCGAGAAATATTCCGAGGGAATTTGACGCTCGTCGGCACTTTGTCAAATGCGCGAATGTAATCGGTGAAGTCAACAACCAAAGAACGACAGCGTCTAGTTGGGTAAACGCGAATGCGCTAAAGATTTTACTTAATGCAATTTAATTGACGCGATATTATTATTCGGTTGTTCGAAAATAATTTTTTGATAATCCTCGCGACGCACGTTCCTATAATTATTGTGATAATATGACGTCTTGTATACTTGACGGAGAACAGTATAAATGCATACAGTTATACGTGTACCTATGTATATTCATATTGTTTAGCCCATGGCAGTGGCTTCAGCTTTTACGGACCGCTTTTGCATAGCGACCGACGGAAATTTCACTGAAAACCTTTGCGCCCAATATTTAATGGCTTTTGGGCTCCAATTTAATAAAATAATTAAAATTAAAATAAGGCCAATAAAAAATGTTCGATACAATTTTTTTCGGAGCTCTATAATAATTCGGGAAATGTCTATCCGAAACGTATACGGACGGAATTAATTTCTTCAGGCCGTAATCGCCCGGAAAAAAAACTCCAAAATCAATTTTGTCCGAAACGTATAATTACAAAATCAGTAACAGTAATAGCGAATGTAAATTCCGGCTCATTTATTTTCCGGATGAATACGGGTTCCTTTTTGTTCATGTATTCCTAATTGTAACATTATAGCTTCAACCGTCTATATGACTTCGTGGACGGACGCCACACAAATCCAACAGGAAATCATGACTTACGGTCCCGTGACTGCGTTGATGTACGTTTACGACAATCTTGCGAGCTAAAAAGGAGGTAAACATACTCATTACACATGATAATATTACTATCGGTGACGTTAACGATGACAGGGCTACATAATATTATAAACACGTGGTTGTTCGAACAGGCATTTACAAGGACACTGTCGGCGATCTAGTGGGACACCAGTATGTCAAACTTATCGGATGGTGTATCGATGACGATTATGAATATTGATTGGCGATAAACTCGTGGAACTCCGGATGGGGCGACGGCGATCTGTTCAAAATTCTCAGAGGATACAATTTCTGCGCTATCGAGCTCTTAGTCATGGCCTGCATTGTTAACGTTTCTCCATGGTGACCATCCTAGCATACCTATCATGTGACGTCATCATTTATGCCCGTCAACACTACGTATCTCAATATTTTTTTATAAAATAATTATATTGTTATCGATATTAATAAAACAAATGTTTTCTAAAATGTTTTATTCTGTTGTTTTTGATGAATTTCCCCCTGAAATAAAGAATATTGTTATGCATTGCACCTGTACATCTTCCCCCCCCCTACTTTTTGACATATTTACTGGTTTTTTTTTGACCTAATGAGTTTAAACCCGTGAATTAGAGTTGTTTTATCGGTGAATTGTTGTAAAAATATGTTAATTGAATTTCAATATGAATTTTACCATGTTATTGCGAGAGATAATTGTCTTGTTGAGCTTTGTATAACCCTAAAGACTCCGAAATAAAGCCCAGGGGTGCAGTTTTGTACATGCATGCAGTGTCGATCTTGCAAATAAAAGGCCCCTAGTTTTTCAACTGGTGCCTCAGTAAATACATTTCAGCAATAAATCTTAGAGCAAAATCAAATTTAATATGGATTTCAAATTTCAATTTTAAAACAAAGATGATCATTTTTAACTATAAATAAAAACTTATATACAGACCTTAGCGATAATCAATGACTTAAAGAAAATTGGGTTATTAAATAATGAAAATAACAAAATATATATCTGAAATGAAATAAAGAATAAAAAAAAACAATGAACATAAATAGTACTAAATAGATATTTCATATTTCAATTGTATATTTTAAATGATTTAGCCCCAATATCAATATTGTGCAATTCCTTGATATCTTTTTAAATTTTCAGTTCAATTCATTCATCTATTTACTATGAATTATTACAAAACCAGAATTACTGTATTACTGTAATATTATAGTTCATAATATTACGTATTTTATAAAATTTAACAAGATTTGAAACTGTACTGTTCAACGGCAGTTTCGTACAGTTATATTATGTTTATTACGTAGGTACTCATTATATCACAACATCACAAAGTTATAACAATACTTGAGTAACTAAACTCAATAAATTCGAAGTCCTCCATCAGGAATATCTTCTATTCTTAGTTTTATGATCAAATTTTTTTTTCTCTTTAATTAGGTACATAAATCATAATTATTTTTCTTATAAGCAAACCTCTCAGCATTAAATAGTGAGCCAATGTACGGAAATAATTTACGTATTTTAATAGCTTAAAGGTATAGTCATTATAGCCTACGGTATAGCCTTATATTTTTGTGTTGAATGTTGATTAAAAACTAAATCTTAAACATTATTTAAATTTTAAATTATGAAAACGTTTTATATAAGTACCCAATAATTTGCCTAAAATGTATTAATTAATTTAGGTAATTATTTACACAGAGGCTTGCACTTTAAAGGTCCGGGCGCCAAGAAAATGGTCTTATTAACCCTGTTAAGAGGAGGCCTTCCTTAAACATAAAACTATTGTAAAAGTTATAAAAAAAAACTCCCAGAGTCTCGCCGCGTTTGCGTCTCCCTGAACCTGGCCAGACCGACACTGTATAGATGGTGTAAGTAGACTCGTTTAGTCCCATTTGGACCTTTTCTACTATTCTCAAGTTTCGATTGCGTCCGGTGATTACCAATTATTATATTAGAAGATATTATTATAGGTAGATTGGAAAATAAAAATGATACATAATATTATTTATTGGTTACTTTTATTTGTTTTACTTTTACTCATTATTTTGACCATGTAAACCGAACTCCGCTCAGAATGGTTTTTCGTTAGCAAAGATTTATCGTTGCTCACAGATAAACATTAAATTATTTTCTATATTCTACCTTTCTAACTTTTGACCTATAACAGTGGCCCACTCATCGTACGAAATATGTCTGTCTTTTTTTTTTTGTGTTTGTAAACAATTTGCTACCAGAAATGTTGCTCCTATGTATAAAGTATAGAACCGTTTCTGAAAAAAAATGTTTATCTAGTTGGTGCATTGAGGTCATTTTTCAAAAGATTTTCGAAATAATTGGGAAATGCCGGAAAGAAAATTATAGATAAAACGGCAAATATTTACGGTGCACCGAGGCGTTACTGTTTTCTTGGTTTTTAATTTTTATAACGTTTGTTTTCTACCAAAAATATTGCTCCAGCCGAAAAAAATTACTAGAGATCGATTTTATTCCATTTAATATATAGCCACTGACAAAGAAAGTCGTTTTTAATATCCAAAGTGGTTTTCATGATAATTACGAAAAACCAAAAAACTGAAATTGATTAATATTAATAACAACTTGGCGTCCCGGTTTAATTATTTTAATATTTGCAAACGATGTTTTGTAACAGAAATATGGCTCCAATTGAAAAATGACAATACATAGATTTTGTTTCATTTAATATCTAGCCACTGACGGACGAAATCAGTTTTTTATACATCAAGTAGTTTTTATAATAATTCGGAAAAACCAAAAAAGACGAAATGTTTCTTAAATTTATTAAATAATTACATGTATCCAATCTTCCCAACCGTCTGCCTACAATAATAGCTGCACCTGTCCCCAGAATCAGATCTTTTTTTTTTTAAAAAAATCAAAAATAAACATGTCTAATAATAAATTACTCATTTATTTCTACTTCAAAAATAGCTCGTCTAATATTTAATGATCCACCTTATTATTTAAATAATAATACAAAAAATACACTGTCAAGTTTTTGTAATTTCAATTTTTTCAATGAGGCACAATTACGTTTCTGTTTTTCTTTATCAAGTTCATAACTTGTATAACATTCTATATTTGAGCTATTGACAATAATGCGGTGTAAATATTAGTGTGCACCATTTTGATTTTAAGATTTTTGAATTGATTCTTTTTCAATTTGTTTGAAACCTTAGTTTTGCAGTCATAGAGCTGCAATTTTAATTTTTTATCATTTTTAGGGGAATAGTACATTTTTCTGATTTAGTTTTAGAAAGCCCATGATGCGTGGTAAAGTCATAATTATGGATACTTAAAATTACAATAGCCTACAAATTCAATACGTTTAAATATAAAAATCAAATTGGGAGTTTTTTGTGTGTAACTGCAATAATTATATACAATTAATTCGTACCAAACAATCTGCAAGGAAATTTGTAAAAAAATGTAAAAATATTAATTTCGGTGGAATTTAACGCTCAAATAAATTTCATTTGAGACATAATAAACAAATGTTTATTTTAATGATTGCGTGTCTATTTATTTATTTACATTGTAAGTTTGTATTAAGCTCGTAACATCGAATGATGCGCGCGATAAATTAAGTAGGATTAATAAAAACAAATATTGTTTTACAATTACTTTATGGAAACAATAATTTATAAGAAACTAATAAAAATGTTTTCTAAAGGATATTTTTACATTGACTATTTATTTGTGTTGTTTACTATTGGTCAATAAGTAATTTTTCCCCATGTTATATATAGCCAATATAGATACAATATTTTACTTTTAGATTCTGAGTTTAGCGAAAAATGTATTGGTTTTAAAAAGATGTTTGTTTTTTTTTTTTTTTTTTAATAATGAACACTTTTTCTACTAGAAAGTCTACTCCGATTATTATCAATTTATTTATCAAGTATAGCACCTCTCCTGAAAGGAAATGTTCTCTGGGTGGTACTTTAAAGAGTCATTTTTTAAAATTTAATATTCGAGATAGTAAGGAAAACCTGGTTCTTAGGGTTAAAAAAAAATTGAAAGATTAAAAATAAGGTTGTCAATAACAATCATTTTTATTTATTTTTTGTTATAATTACGTTTTTATTATTTTAAAATCTTTTTTTCTGTCTTATATATTTAACATACTCAACTAATATTTGATGGCATAAACAAAAATGCAACACACTGCCGATCAAAAACGGTAATAGATCCTCCTTGACCTTTAAAAAAAAAAAAAAATCAAAAATAAATTATTAAAAAAGCAATATAGACTTTGTAATTTACTTACAAAAAAAATTATAAATATAATTTTACTATTATTTATTAAACTAACTATTGTTAAATATATTAAGTAAAGCACCATTAAAAAAATCAATTGATTTATCCTCCCCCTCCATCAAAAACTTTCTAAATACGCCCCTGTTTAGATATACCAGTACCGTTGAATCTACTCGGGCTTTGTAATCCTTAAAATAAGTTCGTGCACTGCAATATATACCTTTTTACAGTAAAATGCATAGTATAATTCAATGGATATTTCCAATGAAAAAAAAAAATTCTTTATCGTATTGTCGGAATGTAAAACGGAAAACTGTACATTTTCGCACAAAACCGACGGCGGAAATTTGTGTGAACACAAACATTGAATAAACACGAACCACGTGTAAATTATCATTATAAACGCATAATCACGATTGTTGATCTTCGCCATTCTGAAACGCCTAATTTATTCAATCGTTCTAAAGGTGTAACATCACGCGCGTCGTGAAATTCGCAGTTGTTGTTTTATGAAAATTCACATATAATATTATATTTGATCGGAAACGCGTATTTACGTCGTAAATCTCATCGCGCATAAAACATATTTTAATTTTTAGGCACTCGAACACTCGCGAGCGTGAGTCTAACTATACAGTTCGTTTATATCTCGAAAATTCCCCAGTGTGGTACTATTTCTTTTATGTGATTGCTTTGCGCGTGTATACGTATATAGTATAAAGTATACTTTTTTCACATAAAAATATAAAAAGTGATCCTTCAATGAATACAAAGGTATTTCTGACATGGCGTGCAGTACTATATAGCCAGACGGAAAACGATATGAAATTTTAAATTGGAAATGCCAAAACTTATGCGGAACGCGAGAAATCGAACAGTAGCGTAATATAAAGCCGGAATATTGTCCCCGCACTTCGATCTG